TATCTATCTATCTATCTATCTATCTATCTATCTATCTATCTATCTATCCATCCATCCATCCATCCAACCATCCATCCATCCATCCATCCATCCATCCATCCATAAAAATTGGGATGAAAACCAGGTAGAACCAACAGGGATTATTTGATTTCTCACTGGTTGAAAGAAGGATTATAAATACTATTGCATTCTCTGAAAAAAACTAAAAAAGCACACACCCCCCACCACCAATTACAGGACGTGACTTGCTGTGAAATTAGCTACCAAAGTCTTCAGTAAAGCACATACAGAGTACAACAAAGAACGCAAGAGATGGGAGGATAAATATAAATAGAATAGCTCATAATTCTTTATGGGCCGAGTGCGATTGGAATTTGCCTCTGGTGCATAAGCTCTCAGTGTACGTGCAAGCAACTAAGTGACGGATCATAGATCATAGTTACCATCATTAATCATCAGATAGAACAAGGGACAAACCATAGATACCAATAGGCAAAGGTATTAGGAAAAATGAGAAGATGAGAAAGATTATTATCAATGCAGCTTACTACATGGGCAAAAATACCTTTAGGCCCAAGACAATGCTGTGGGAAGCAGAGCAGAAAACTGTCCTTGTATCCAGTTGTTTTGGTTGCCAATGCCCTATAGTGGCATCCCAGGGGAAGGAGTTGAATTAGTTTATGTGCAGGATGTGAGGGGGTCTGTAGATACTTTCTCAGCCCTCTTTCTGGCTCATGCAGTACACAAGTTGTCAATGGAAAGCCTTCTCCAATCTAAAGGAGAAGGGCCCCTGCCCAAATCTCACGCTGGTATTATTGCCAAGCCTTTCTTAGCATTTTTCTTCCTTTATATATTTTTTCAGGATGAGAGCAGGGAAAGAATGAGTAATTGTATACATAATGGAAAAAAACAACACCCCAAACCTTGTAGGTCATTAGGTCTGACAACAGCATGACATGCCTCCGATCAATACTCATTCCGTGGTTTACCATAGTATATTGGATTTCACTGATAATAGTGGTTCGTGCAGCTTCAATGCCCAAGGTTTTCTCAACCTGGAAGATTAATTTATGTTGCCTTAATGAAATGGAAAAATCCTTATTCAATTTTCTCTGTTCTCCAACCCAATTATATTCACTTCTTTACACATTTCTATGGCATACCTGATAGATTTGCTAGAGAAATATATAAATAATTCTCTCTCTCTCTCTCTCTTTCTCCCCCTCACTATTTATATTCATCTACCTACCTACCTTCATCATTTATTCATTATCTATCTTCATCATCTATCTATCTATCTATCTATCTATCATCTATCTATCTATCTATCTATCTATCTATCTATCTATCTATCTATCTATCATCTATCGTGTTTCTCATATAATAAGGCTGGGTCTTATTATTTTTTTTGAGCCCCGAAAAAATGGCTAGGCCGTCTTTTCGGAGGTGACTTAATTCCCCCCCCCTTGCATCTTCGGGTGGGCGGCGACGGCTTGGATGTTGACCTCGGCGTTGGTGGGGCACTTCGTATTGGGGTCAATGCAGGCAGCACCATATGCCCGTGTGCAACAAAAGTACTTCCTAATGGCAAGCCCCCCCCCCCATTCCCTCCCATTTCGCATGTTTTAACATAGGCCTTAATTTGGGGGGGAGGGGCTTAATTTCATTTCATGCCTATAAAACATGCTGGGACTTCCTATTGGGGGAGGCCGTATTGTTGGAGAAACAGGGTATCTATCTATCTATCTATCTATCTATCTATCTATCTATCTATCTATCTATCTATCTATCTACATCCATGCATCCATCCATGCATCCATCCACCTAATAAGAGTGAAGTCTTTTTTCCCCACCACTATGTCCATGATCATTCACAGTATGAACTTACTATCATCCTTACACTGACCCCACAAAACATATATTAGGCCTATATTGTGGACAAGGCCCCAAGCTTAAATAAAGGCCTTACTTTAGTACCTGAGCCAGTTCATGGAAGAAGCAAGATCTAAACCAAGCAATACTGTTGCATGCTTAGGGTCTCTTTCTTAGCTGCTATGTTCCACCAATTTATCCCCTCTTGTTTTGTGTTACCTCATAAGTGTTGTTCGATGTCGTTCTGGTTCCTTTTACCCCATGAGTGGCCATGACAGCTCTCAAGTTGTCACCTTCCACCAATAATTTGTACTTTTCCTTTCCACTCTGTTCGTCAATATGAATGACAGCACGAGACACCTCTGGTATACCTTGCACTACAACCTAAGAGGTGAAAGGGAAACAACCAAAAGCAGAAACATTTGATTTTTTTTCCTCATGTTGTGGCCCGCCAGCAGCCAGCGGAGCTGATGGCAGACTCGGACAGTGAGGAGGTTGAGGAGGAACCTGGGCCAGTCCTTGAGTCTGGGGAAGGCTCTGTCGAGGGCTCTGCATTGGAGGCAGAGATGGGGCCAGGGCTGTCTCACAGTTATCAGCTGACTTCAGAGTTGGACGTCAGTGAGGCAGAAGAACCCCTGGAGCCTGTTCCCAGTGTGCACATGCACAGAGCTGCCAGAAGAAGGGAACAGCTAAGGAACAAGGGTTGACTCGGGAGTAAGGACACAGGTGGATGGTGAATGGCCCCTCCCATAGGGAATAAAGAGGAGTGAAAGGGGAGTGGTGTTTGCAGGAGACAATTCGTTCGTTTAATTAGTGTGAAGATTTGTTTGTGACTCTTGGGAGACTCCTTGCCAAGTACTTTCTGGTACAGCCTTGCGCTTGGAAGCTATCGGCCTGGCAACTCTCCAAGCCTGATAAGGTCTGTGGTTGTAATTCACCCTTGAAAGACTGTTTGCTGGGACTTTGCTGGATGTGAATGAAAGGAATTCAAATCAGTCTAATAAAAAAGGGTTTTGTCAGGACAAGGAGTCTGCTTCATGATTTGGTGAAGCCTGGGTCAGAACACCTCAGGAAAAACAGGATTAGTAGTATAAAAATATAACTACAAGCTTCCTTCACAGTTTTTACTAAGACTTGGGAGTTAAGATGTTCTCCCAGAAGAAAAATGGGTAAATATGAACAAACAAGAATCTCAGAGAATTCTCAGAGAATTTCTCAACTCTTTGGCGGATTAAGCAGCTAGAAGAAAATCATTTCATTACCATTTATTATTGCTTATGATTATTTAAATATGATAATTCTGGATTCTGTACGTCATCGGCAGCCCCTGGGGTAAGATGCTTCATAAATTTTGCAAATAAATGCTTTCTGCCCGATCAAAATTTGCTTTTTCATCAGGTCAGAGTGTATGAGATCCCACTGAAGCTTGAATAATCCATGATTTGATAAACCCCAGTCTGGATGACTATCAAGTTGGAGATGTCTTGGAGAAAGATCAAGGAGATAGTATCAATAGTCATAGGCACTTTGGGTGCAATTCCCCAAACTGGAGCACCACTTGAACAGCACCATTGGAATTGACAAAATCACCTTCAGTCAATTTCAAAAGGCAGCTTTGGTTGGAATGGCTGAAATCCTATGAAGATACCATCAAACATAGAACAATTAACCAGTGAAACAACTTGTCTCCAGAAGTTGTAAATGCTCCAATACGGGAAGTTTTTAAGAAGACATTGGACAGCAATTTGTCTGAAATGGTGTAGGGTTTCCTACCTAAGCAGGGGGTTGGACTAGAAGACCTCCAAGGTCCCTTCCAACTATTCTATTCTGTTCTATTCTATTCATTGCTGTTCTATTTTATTCATTGCTATTCTATTCTATTCTATTCTATTCTATTCTATCCTATCCTATCCTATCCACACCTGCCTCTTCCAGATCTTTTGGGCAGGACTCCATGCAAATCCAACTTAAACATCTGGCTGAACGTCCAAAAAGCCGTAAAAAAAGTTGCAGCAATATTATGAATTATTTTTTCTGTTTGGAAGACTCCGAAGGCAATCCTTTTCTAGAAAAAAAAAACAGAAAACTTGGAACAATTTCACTTGCTCATCAACGACAATAAAATGAAAAATACTCACTTTTGGCAGCTCTTCTTTCAGAGCCTGCAAGACATAATACATGGAGCTCTTGCTATTCTCACGGGGAGTAACGCAGACTACCGCTTCCCCGTGGACCACCACATCCCCGGGCTTCACTCTGAGCTTCGAGACGCAAATGGAATATCTCACAGTCTCCGCATTAACCTGTGCGGGGGGTGGTGGAAAATGTCATTTCATTACCTGCATCGGTTTTTGGCCTCTGGTCTGCTCCCACAAGCATAGAATCACTACCGGACAAGACCTTCAAAAAATTACCGTATTTTTCGCTCTATAAGACGCACTCCGCCCCCCCCCCCCAAAAAAAAGTGGGTGAAAATGTCTGTGCGTCTTATAGAGCGGATATTGCCAAATATTGTGTCCCGTTTTCTGCTTCTGCAGGCCCCATTTTCAGCCTCCTTGGCCCCAATTCTGGCCTCTGTGCGCCCCATTTTCTGCCTCTGTGCATCTCGTTTTCAGCCTCCCTGCACCGTTTTCGGCCTCCGCAGGCCCCATTTTCAGCCACCCTGTGACCCATTTTCGGCCTCTGTGTGTCCCGATTTTGGCCTCTGTGCGTCCCGTTTTCTACCTCCCTGCACATCCTGTTTTCGGCCTCCCCAAGTCCCGTTTTCGGCCAAAAATGGGAGTGCGTCTTATGGAGCGAAAAATATGGTCCTTTGAACCAAACACTTATGATGGGAACTTATCCTAAGTTCTAAGTTTTAACCTTTACCTCCTTCCTGAAATACAACAACCTCCAAAACTTACACCTGTATTAAGTTACTCCCGTTGTTCGTACTTACTTCCAGCCGCAGCAGCCTAATCCTCTCCAAAGAAAGCTTGACAAGAATGAAACAGTCGTCAGGAAGGAAGACTTCTTCGATGTACTCCGATATCTGCAGGTCCAAAGAAAAACTTCTCAAGAGCCAGATTTGTTTCCGACTACTCGCTGGATTAACAACACAGCAGAGCCCAACATTTGTGTGGTTGAGCGAGACAGGCGTTAAGTGAGTTTGGCCCCGTTTCACAACCTTTCTCGACACCATCGTTAAAGTGAATCACTGCAGTTGTTGAGTTAGTCAGACGGTTGTTAAGTGAATCCGGTTTCCTCACTGACTTTCTTCGTCAGAAGGTCATAAAAGGGGACCCTGGGACATTGCGACCGTCATAAATAGGAGTCAGTTGGCAAGCGTCCGAATTTTGATCACATGACCACAGGGATGGTACAATGGTCGTAGGTGTGAAAAACGGCCATAAATCACCTTTTTCAGTGCCGTTGTAACTTCGAACGGTCACTATGCAAGCAGCCATACATCAAGGACTACCCGTACATACAACTAGCTATTTAGTCATTAAGAAACACACCGTACCTCTCCCAGAAGTGTTTTTTCTATTCTTCCTTTGACCAAACGGGCAAAATCAGGATCATCATCTATGTCGAGATGGGCAGTGATAATTGGCGTGCTACATATAAGCAAGGAAGCATAAATGTGAAAAGGGTTTTAAAATATATGAATGTATGTATGTATGTATGTCTATGTAGGTAGGTGGGTGGGTAAATAGATAGAAAGATAGGTAGATAGAAAGAAAGAAAGGTAGATAGAAAGATAGGTAGGTAGATAGAAAGATAGGTAGATAGATAGGTAGATAGGTAGAAAGATAGGTAGATAGAAAGATAGGTAGATAGGTAGATAGAAAGATAGATAGGTATGTAGGTAGGTAGGTAGGTAGGTAGATAGATAGATGATAGATAGATAGATAGATAGATAGATAGAAAGAAAGACAGGTAGATAGATAGAGATGAGTAGATAGGTAGGTAGATAGAAAGATAGGTAGATAGATAGGTAGATACATAGAATAGAATAGAATAGAATAGAATAGAATAGAACAGAACAGAATAGTATAAGTGGATGTTTTATAATTCACACAACAAAAAATGCAAAACCAGCGCATAGCAATATATGCTCTCCCCATTCTTAATGTTCTATATGTTTTATACTGTACATAAATTACATCAACTTTACTGTAAATAGATGCTTTGCTTTTCTCCTAGCGTGGTACATAGAGCAAGCATCCTCGAAGACTGGTCCATCGCTGAATTTTAAAAATTAGTGATTCTTTTCGGCCTCATTGGAAATTGAAAAGAACTAGCATGAAAAAATGGAGTAGGGCAGGACTAGAACTCACAGCCCCCTGGTGTTTGACCCAAAGTCACCCAATCGGCTTTTGTGCTGGAATTAGAACTCACAGTCTCCAGGTGATTGGCCCCATATCATTCAGCTGGCTTTCATGGCTAAGGTGGGACTTGAACTCAAAGTTTCTGCTTTCTAACCCAGTGCCTTAACCACTAGACCAAACTGGCTTCCTAACTTTTTCTTACTAACTTCCCTTGATACAAAAGACCTCTTTAAAAAAATATTTGAAGTTCAGGAGCTTTTTTAAAATACCGAACCGAATTCACAGTTCTTCCACCCCATTTTTATCCAGAAATTTGAAACGTGTGTGTATATCCCTTCTTACTAAAAAAAAACCAAAAAACCAACATGCTCTCCATGATGTTCTACTCCAATAACTGTAAATGTTGCTCTTTTTTTTTTTAAAGAAAAGGCAAAGATTTTTAACCGAGACACCTTATTACAATCCTTCGGACCACTTCTGTACAGCAGTGGGACTCAGCCGGTTTGGAGCAGTTTGGTTGAATCGGATGTTAAATTTGCATCTGGTTCGCTGAACCGGAAGTTGAACTGACCGTCTGGTCCCGCCCGCCCCTCCCCTCCCCTGAATCTCCATGCAGCCCATTTTGGATGCAGGTAAGTGCAGGGTCCATGCAGAGGCTCTGGGAGGGCGAAAAACAGGCCTTCCGGAAGTCCAGGAACGGGTCTGTTCCTGGTTTCCAGAGCCCAGGGAGGCCGCTTTCACCCTCCCAGAGGCCCGAGGGAAGCCTCCAGACTCTGGGGAAGGCCAAAAATGGCCCTTCCAGAAGTTCCGGTAGGCCACACCCACCACGTCCACGTCCACCCAGCAACTGGGCAAGGAACCGGTTGTTGGGATTCTGGAATTGTTAGGAATATAAGTCACCTAACAGCTATTTGGGTTGGAAATATATAAGCCAGGATAGACATTTTAATACTGTCTCTTTAAGAGAATCCTAAAAGTATAATTGGGTGTGGTTTCTCAAACGGCCATAAGATGGAGCCAGAAACCTGGGTTGTTTTAGTCTTAGTCTCAGAAGAGAGTGTGAGTGTATCTCTGTTTCTTTCTGTTGGAGAGTACTGCCGTTCTTCCTAATTGACTGATATTCTTGGATTTGATGTAAGTCTGATACTGAACTGTTTTTGACACTGGACTTTGTTATTGGATTATCCCTGGATGAAAACTGACTGATCTTACCTGTGAATGACTTAGGACTGTGTTTGAACTTTGCTTAAAACTTTTATTGGAAGTAAAAACCAACATTTACTGTACAGTGTATCTGTGTGCTGTGTGTGTATTATTCACACACTTCTCTCAAATACGTCTCCCTGTATGCGTTCATTCTCCTAATGAGGAATTACCTCAACAGGAATCCCACCCCTGCTTCTGTAGCCCACGTACCTGATGGCTTTGGAGGCATTGATGATCTCTTTGATCCTGGGCACCCCTAAGGTGATGTTCATGGAGGCCACACCAGCAAAATGGAAAGTCTTGAGGGTCATCTGCGTGCCGGGCTCCCCGATGCTTTGCGCACAGAGCGCTCCCACTGCAGAGCCTGGCTCCATCTGTGCCCTAAGAGACCAGATTCAAAGAGACATGGATTTTTGTTCATTCCATAGCTACCCATTCCCTTGATGCTTTGTGGCCACATTGAAAATACCTATCAACTCAAGGGGGGAGGGGGGGAAACAGGGTCATAGGTGAACAATAAATTATGTAGAGCAGAGCTGACTGCACTTGGGAAAAGGGCTGGCATGTTGCTCCTAATAAATAATTGGATTTCTTTTGAAACTTGGCTCGAGGCTCATGAATTAATTAGGGCATCCGTCGGAACCCTGACAATACCATTTTATAATAGCAATAGCACTTAAGACTTATATACCACCTTATAGTGCTTTAACTGCTCTCTAAGTAGTTTACAAAGTCAGCATATTGCCCCCAACAATTTGGGTCCTCATTTTACCCACCTCAGAAGGATGGAAGGCTGAGTCAACCTTGAGCCTGGTGAGATTGGAACAGCCAAATTGTAGGCAGCTGACTGCAGAAGTAGCTTGCAGTACTGCACTCTAACCACTGCGTCACAGAGGCTCCTCATAATGCCTTAGTAAGGCCACACTTGAAATATTGCATCCAGCTTTGGTCACAACAATGTAAAAAAGGTGTTGAGAGTCTAGAGTAGAAACAGTGCGGAGAAGAGCAACCAAGATGATTCGGGGGCTGGAGGCTAAAACATATAATGAATGGTTGCTGGAATTGGATATGTCTACTTTAATGAAATGAAGGACCAGGGAAGACATGAGAGCAGTCTTCCAATATCTTAGGGGCTGCCACAAAGAAGGAGGAGTCAAGCTATTCTCCAAAGTACCTGAAGGCAGGACAAGAAGCAACGGATGGAAACTAATCAAGGAGAGAAACAACCTAGAACTAAGGAGGAATTTCCTGACAGTCAGAACAATTAACCAGTGGAACAACTTGCCTCCAGAAGTTGTGAATGCTCCAATACTTTTTAAAGAAGAGATTGTCTGAAACAATCTGAACCATTTGTCTGAAATGGTATAGGATGCAGGGGGTTGGACTAGACCTCCAAGGGTCCTTCCAATTCTGTGATTCTCTTCTGTTCAAACGCAGCCAAGTTCTCGAAAGATCAAGAGTTACGTTCTCCATATTTAAAATGGATTTATATTAAACCGGGTGACTCCACCATTCAGTCAGAACTGAAGAAGCTTCTTGGGTGAGAAGCGAAACCTCTTCAAGGGAAAACAAAGTCCAGTTGCCTTTTGAAAAAAAAAAGCACCTATGGGACAAGTAAAATATTTTAAAAAAGGACTGAGAATCTCCAAAGTCATTTTTAAAAATATTTTACTTCCTTGTTTAAATAAGTCAATAGCACACACCCTTGTTTATGTGTATAACAAGGAGAACAGGCTCAAAGCTTCTATCTACCAAGGAGCCTGGGTCGGGTTTAAGGCAAATTTCTCAAACATATACAATACCCATCACCAAGACAGGCTAATTGGCTATTTATTGATTACTTTTAGCAAAATCAGAGAAGCAACTTAGAACTTGGGAGAAATTTCCTGAGTACAATCAACCAGCGCATCGAAAAGAAAGCCAATCCATGGACACTAATCTGAATTGCAGCTGGCAATTGTGCAAATCTCCTTCCGCCTAGACTGGCCATAGATACCCAGTTCCTGCAACGGTTCCTCATGTGTTTTGACCTGGAGACCAAAACATGTCAGAAAGATTGCAGGACCAGGGGAGACATGATAGCATCTTCCAATATTTGAGGGGCTGCCACAGCGAGGAGGAGGAGGAGGGGGTCAAGCTATTTTCTAAAGCACCTGAAGGCCAGACAAGGATGGAAACTGACCAAGAAGAGATTCAACCAGAAGATCCTACCTCATATACTTCTCTCTGCAGATCTCCAGAAACTTTTCCAGCTGGGTTGGAGTGATTCGGTCCAACTGGTATAAAACGTAGGGCTAAAAGGACGAAGACCCAGAATGATTACCAACATATTCAATATGTGTAGTCAATCATATATTCAATATATTGTCATTACAAGTATATTACAAGTACGATTGCAAGTCTATTCAATATATTAGTCACTAGCTCCAAGGGTCACCGAACGTCTTGCACTTCCCCAACTTCTTGAATTCCCTCAAGGTGCTTTGAACAGGGAGCCAACCTATTTTCCAAAACATCTGAAGTCTGGGCAAGAAGTAACAGATCAAAACTAATCAAAGAGGGAACTAACCTCCTCTAAGGAGAAATTTTCTGACAGCTAGAACAATTAACCGGTGGAAGGGCTTGCATTGAGAATTTGTGGGTGCTTCATCACTGGAGGTTTTTAAGAAAAGTCTGGACAGCCATTTGCCTGAAATGGTATAGGGTCTCCTGCTTGAGCAAGGGGTTGGACTAGAAGACCTCCAATGCCCCTTCCAACAATTCTGTATTCTGTAAACATTTATCTCCTTGCTTGGCTTCTACTAATCTTAAATATGATGGTGTCTAACAAGGACTTGGGAAAAACTAAAGTTTCCTGCTATGGGAACGAACTACAGTGAATTTTAATCACAGTCTTTCCCACTCCTGGGATTTTGTATCTGAAGAAACAGCTTTAAACATGAAGGCAAGTAGGTTTTGTTGTAAAATAAGTACAGCCTTTCTCGCCTCTGAAGTTGGATATACTATAGATCCAGACGAGCCTTCCTGAATCCAGATGTGCTGAATAAGGACTATAGCAGGGGTCTTCAAACTTGGCCGGTTTAAGACTTGTGGACTTCAACTCCCAGAACTCCTCCTCCAGTCATG